TTATTTAATTGGTAAATGGGATAATCCTCAATTCAGCATATTCTGGTATCAGGGCCACTGATGTTGATTGGTTACTAAACTGAATGTTGATTTTTTTTTCATCAGAGATTATTAGCCTTTATTCCTTGGATTAAGAGTCTTGAGAAATAATGGCTTGGATGGATTTGGATTCCCATTAAGCCATGATGATAGGGTTTATTTTGGTTATGGCTCAGCAGTTTGTATGAACCCAGACGTTATGATTTACTTAATGAATTGTGATTAAGCAATGATTTAGTGCAAATCATAAACCAGGCTGGTAATTCCTGTACCACTTGTACTCTCCCCTAAAAAATAGTCCCTGTGTATATTTGAAGCATTCTTTTGAATATTCCTGTCCTTCTTATCTTAGCTTATCCTATGCTTAGAAGAAGCTACTATCCAAATGGCAGAGAAGGCAAGCAGACAGACAGGTTTCTTTATGTAATCTCTGGGCCAATTTATTGTCTTTTTCTTGGTCTTTGCTCCCCAGAATGTGCTAGCACACAACAGAGCTAATTTCAGGCCTATTTTGTGATATTTTTCTCTGTTCATGTTATATTAGCATAGCGCTCTCCAACAGACAATTTCACATGGTAAAAGGGAGAATAGTTTAGGCCTCTCAGAAAGGAACATTCTGGTAGCCAATTACAATTACTCTTCAAAATTGTATAGTTGCTAACGTGTTAACATGCCAATTACAATTACTCTTCAAAATTGTACAGTTGCTAACATGTTTGTTCACTTGTACTTCAGATAGAAAGCAGGCTCAAGGTTTGTAGATCTGGTAACTGCTTCTTTACCCTATTTTTGTGGATGAGCCTCATTTTATTTTAGAAATGATTTGTAAAGCACCTAGAAATCAGTACTTGGAGATGTGAAGCAAATGTACCTAAATTAAGAGCCTCAGAGAGGGCCCACTTGTTGGATGGTGAAAACAGAAAATTCTCAGACTTTTCTCTTAGCAATCAGGACCGAAATCAGTTATTCTAAAAATAGGTTTTTCTAAGTTATTTGTAATATTTATTTGAAGGAAAATGAAAGATATAGCATAAGAACTGTAGCTATATGTAGGCCATCTAAGGCAGCAACTGTTTTTTTACACTTTCTCATGCTTGTTCAATGTAAAAGGTACATTGAGAGAGGAGAAATGAATTACATTGCTTATTCTAAGTTTTATTCAAATGAAATTTGAAATCAAACCATTTGAAAACAAAACTTAAAATCCATAACATAAACATTAAAAACAGAGCAATAATAAGTAAGGAAACCTGATGATATACTCTGAAAATAGTATGTCCCTTTGAACAACCATCTTCCAGGATTTAAACAAGAGAGATGAGGGCGTCACTCTCCTTAGGGCTCACAGGTACAGAAAATTTGGGTCCCTTCTTCATTTGTTCCTTCCTTATACTTGCAACCAAGTTAACCACACTACTGTGGCCCCAATAGGCATTTCTAATTAGTGCAAAAGAAAAAAAAAGGAGTGAGTGAGTGAGGTAATGAATGAATGTGGAATATTTGAAAGTAACATGAGAAAGAACTGGATTGCACAGTGGAACTAAAGTCATTGGATATCATAGTAACTTTAAAGCTTGCTGCTTGACCACTCTGTTTTACTGAGTTGCTTGTGAAAGTTCAGGTGCTAGAGCAGGGGTGTCAAACTTGATTTCATTGAGGACCACATTAGGGTTGTGTTTGACTTGGGGGGGGCAGGGGAGGGAGTGGGCAGGATGGGCGTGGCCAGCTCATCACTCGTTGAGGCTGTTTTCGGCCACGACGGCCTCATGCAGCTCTCTGCCAACAAAAATGGAGCTGGTGGGGGGGTGCATGCAGCCTGCCAGGGCTGTTTTCGTTGGCAGGGAACTGCAGGAGGCTGTCATGGCCAAAAACAGAGCTTGGGAGGGCCACCGTGGGCCGGTCCTTTGCTGTTTCCAAGGCAGCCCCATGGGCCAGATCTAAGCACCTCATGGGCCGAATCCGGCCCTCAGCCCTTGAATTTGACACCCCTGTGCTAGAGAGAAACAGCTTCTACATGTGATCCTCCTCCTCTCTTTCTTTGATCTGCAAGTGAGGAAGTTCACTGAGGAGTCCTATTGCTTTGGAGCTCCGTCCGCTTTACTTATTCTGTGGAGAAGACCTTGAGATGAACTGTAAATACAAAATAAAAATTAAAAAAACATACGTGCAATCTTATCTTTGTTTCTTTGTATATGGACAATTTAACATTGTGGGCTAATTTTTCAAACAAAGTTCCATACTTCTTATATCCATTCTGTCAGGAGAAACTGCCATTTTCTAAAAGATTCCAGTATTGCAGGTTTGATCAATGTCATGTAGTAAAATGTAATACAAGTAATAGAAATTCCAGACTAATTTTTTATTGGGAAGGAGATAATTATTTCATTTTTGTTCATATTGTCACCATGATGCCAGGAACTGGGGACGGAGAGTATTACTGTTAATTTTGTAGTTAATCAAAAGTTAATCATTTACTGTTAATCATCTAGTATTTGATACTACTGGCCATTCCATTGAAATATTTGATCAACATGAAACTCAAGGACATTGTTTTGCTATAGTTTGATTTCATCTATTCTCTTATGATTATAATTCAACATCATTCTTGGCTATAATCTGTGGAAGTTTATTTACTATTGACAGGTGGTTTCTGGACAGTAAGTATAGAGTTTTAAGATTGGACCTTTATGTTTACAACAACCAACTCTATTATTTGGGGTGGGGGAAATGTCAATTAAGGAACTTTTTGAAGTCCTGAATTAAATGGATTGGATGTTAATAAGACAAATTCAAAATTCAAGAGATGACTAGAGATTTTGAATGCAGCAGAATATGTACTGAATGGGCTACTCTCCATTCTGGTGTCAAATCGGGTTCAGAAATACGAATTCATAATATAATTTTCTTGTTTTTGTGTTTGTATATAGTGTGAACACAACCACTGTTACTTGTAAACCAGATGCATTGTGGTTTATTTAATAAATCCTGATAAAGAAAAGCATAGCTTAGCATATTTTGTGGGAAAAAAATGGAAATGCTTCTAGACTTGGCACTGCTTATGGAAAATCAAACGATGTCTCTGTTTAGTATTGGTTTTGCGTCAGTTGCAGAAATTTCTTCCTGGAGAAATTGGATTTGGCCATGGTGATTTATGTGTCAGTGAATTTAGATCAATGCCACCTCCTCTATCTCAAACTGCCCCTGAAATGTGTAAAGAAATTCTTGCCGAACTTAGAAGCCCTTTAGGACAGTGTTGGACAACCTCTCATCTTAAGAGCAAACTTTCTGTTTGTGTCTTGACTGGGGATCTCAGAAGCCAATGATGTTGTGACATCCATGGAATGGGTAAAGCTGATATTTTTGGTCATTTTATAGTTTGGAGAGGCCTTAAGGAAAAAGTCACAGTCAAAAGGGAGCATCCATTCTGCCTCAAATCCCCTCCAGAATAATTTAAAAAAAACACTCTGTAATTTTCCATCTTGCCAGTTCTGGAAAATGAGTGACTGGAAATGGAATTGTGGTGGTCATATACAGCTCAGATAGTACTCATCTAATCTAAAGGCAAAACAGAATTCTGTAGGTTGCAGACATTTGTTTGTAGGTGCCTTTGGTAAGAAGATAAGCAACCAAATGATAAGTACATTTGGAGTCTAATTAGCAAAACATTGTTCTATTCCCTCTTTTATTAGATGAAGTAATCAAGTTTATAAAGGAAGATTTAAAGACAGTTATACACAACAGACTATCAGGTTCTGAACAATAATCTAAGAAATCATCATGGATCAAGCTAGAAGCAAGGGGTGTGATCCAGAAATCAAGAGGCCAAGCCACAGAAGCAAGATAGTGCAACAGATTCAATTTGTAGATAGTTGGTACATGGTGATTTTAATAAAATATGTAAAGAGGCATGAAAAGAGCTATAAATTGCTGTGTGTGTGTGTGTGTGTGTGTGTATTTCCACAAACACCAATATTTTCAAAAGTAGGCAACTTATATGAAGTTTTAATCTGCAATTAAAAACACTATAGGTTTTCTTTAATTTCTTTATTGATATGAGACACAAGAAACATGCCTTTTCATGTTATGTTCTATTGGAGTATTCAAGCAACCTAAAGCAAAGCACTTGCCAGTATTACTGCTGCAATTCAGTATAAAATAGACACAGATTTCTAAAAAGAACTGTTTCTTTGTATTATTACGAATTCTGAACGTAAAAGCGAAGAGGCTGCGCTAGCTCCTTTCATCCGCCAGGGGTAGCTGAGAGGGTTCGATATCAGCACTGCGGCAAAATGGACAGCTCCATCAGCATTTCTTCTCGTCTACTGTTTTAATCAACTGGGAATGCGCTCCGCAAAAGTAGGGCGTGAAATCAGGGCCATAAACATGAAATTGCTCGGGCTTCCACCTATTCTTTTTACTAACTGTGTAACCAGTTGTCTTTTATTCTCCAGCTCTCTGTTCTGCCTTTTTGGATTTTATCTAATGGAACTCTAAACGCCAATTAGGTGGCTCTCGTTTATTCTGATGAGAGCCCTGAGAACCTCTCGGCCTCCGATCTGCCTAATTCTCACACTTGTCTGGCTCTGTGTCCTGAAGAGACACACACCAACCACCACTTTAAGTCATCAATCCAATGATGACCACCAGTCGATGTGTTTTTAAATTTCTCGTGTCAGCTATCCCGTCCCACCCCAAATCACTTTCTCCCTTCTAAAGCTGGCCAAACTTTAGCATCCCTAGACTTTGCGGTCAAAGAAAACGTGTTTAGGATCGAGATTGTCATAGACACCCAACATGCCGGCGCCACCCCATTATCGTCTCCGCCCATTCCTCCCAAACCAATCTCCTTCCTTTGGCCGCGCCCTAGAAGCGCACGTCCCCCGCCTTTTTGCAGCGGAACCGGCGATCCGCCTCTCTATATAAGACCGGGGCGTCGCGTGTCTTCCTCCACAGCCTCCAGGATGAATTTCTCTTCGGATTCCCGCTATTTGGCCTCTTCCTACAGGAAGATATTCGGGGAGCCGCCCCGCTACACCTCCCGTCTGGGCAGTTCGGCCACAGCCAGCAGTTACCGGTCTCAATCGGTATCCCGCTGTAGCAACCGCGCCGTCTCGTATCGCCTGACACAGGCAGACACCTTGGATCTCAGTCAGGCAACGGCGCTGAATGACGAATTTCGGCTGACCCGCACCAATGAGAAGGAGCAGCTGCAGGGACTCAACGACCGCTTCGCCGGCTACATCGAGAAAGTGAGGCAGCTGGAGCAGCACAATCGCCTCCTGGAGACCGAGCTGAGCGCACTGCGGCAGCGTCACGCCGAGCCCAGCGGCCTGGCCGAGCTGTTTCAGAACGAGCTCCGCGAGCTGAGAGCCCAGCTGGACGAGACAGAGGCCGCCCGGGCACAGGGGGCGCTCGAAAGGGAGCGGTTGGCCGAGGAAGTGCAGCGCTTACGGGCGCACTGCGAGGAGGAGGCCCGAGCCAAGGCGGAGGCCGAGCAGGTGTTGCGCGCGCAGCAGCGGGAGGTGGATGGCGCCACCTTGACGCGCATGGCTCTGGAGAAGAAGGTGGAGGCGTTGCTCGACGAGCTGGCCTTCCTGCGCAAGGTCCACGCCGAGGAGGTGGCCGAGCTGAGCGTCTCCTTGCAGCCAACCCAGCTGGCTGCCATCGAGCCTGACGCCCCCAAGGCCGATCTGACTGCGGCGCTGAAGGAGCTACGCTCGCAGTACGAAGGGTTGGCCGCCAAGAACCTGCAGGCGGCCGACGAGTGGTACCGTGCCAAGTTCGCCAACCTCAGCGAGCAGGCGGCGCGCAACAACGAGGCCATCCGAGTCAGCCGCGAGGAGATCGGCGAGTATCGCCGCCAGCTGCAAGCCCGCACTTTAGAGGTAGAGAGCTTGCGCGGAGCCAACGAATCCCTGGAGCGGCAGCTAAATGAGATGGAGGAGCGGCATAACGCCGAGGCGCTCGGCTTACAGGTGAGGACCGCCCGCGCAAACGCTTCTTCTTGGCTCCCAGTGTCCCATGACATATCGTGCTGCCCCTAACGCAGATTTGGCCCAGCTACATTTTTCAAGCCTTCCACTCCCCTGCTGCGATTGCCGCATTTTGTCCTCCAAATACTCTCAGCAGGTAAAAATCCAGTAGGTTAAAACATTCAACAGAACGGCTGTTAAATCGACAGCAGTTCTCCGTTAAGCAGGGTCGCTTTTACCTTTCCTAATGCCCGTCAGATGTTTTGCCTTATGCCTTCCCTTATCTATTATCTTTGGCCGTTCTAGCTGGCTTAATGATTGTTGTAAACAATCGCGGTGTTCAATGACAAAGCGACAGGAAGGGTTGCACCAGGATGTCTGTCTGCTGTGAGCATCTGATTCCTTTGAATGTTTTATAGGCTCCGCGACGGTTTTCACGCTGCTCTCCGTGGTGCTGAATATAGCCAACAATTGTTTTACTGCACCTCTAGAGTTCTGCTTCTTTACTACCGGTAGCGGGAATGAAACGTTTTACTTTTTACTGATCCTGATTCCTGCAAATCAGCTATTCATTTCATTTTTTTTTCATTATCTTTCTGTAATGAACATATCTACTCATTACTTGACTAATCCTAGGGCAAGTCTTACAGTTGATAATTTGTGCTTAGATTTTACTATATTTATATAAATTAAACATGCTACACAGTTACTGTGAAATTAAATTTATAAAGATGGTAAACTGTAAAATCAGAAAAGGTAGAACTGAAATAGGGATGATAAAAGACAATTGAAATAAAATGTGAATTACATTCAGAAGTGCTCATTTAGCTCAGAAAGGTGTTTGTCTCAGCTGGATCTCCCTGAAAGAAGATTCCAAACTCCAGTCCATTCCTGCTATACATTTACTATGCTTTCAATACTGCAGAAACATGTTTAATACAATCATTGTTTTATGTGGAATGGGGTTCCATGTGAGAAATTGACTTATTTTCCATTCAAAATGCAGATGTATTGTCATCTGAATTCACTTGTTTACATAAGACAATATGGGCTTTTTTTGAAAATATAGATACTATCAGGGGTGGGTTTCTACCCATTCTGTCCACCTCTGTAGAACCAGTAGCTCTGAAGAGCAGCAGACATAGAACCGGTTCTGTGTCTGCTGATGTTTTTGCCCACCCACTCCCGCCTGAGCTCTTACCTGACCTTTATTTCCTTGCTTTTTCAACTTCAGCTGCCGTGCAAGGCACAGCTGCAGTTAAAAAAGCAGGAAAAAAGGGCTTTTTCAAAGGCTGCTTCTCTGCACACAGCGCTGCTCAGCTGTCCAGGCACCAGGCTGATGATTTACAGGCATGTGCAGCATGCAGGGAAGCACATTGTAAATCACTGAACCTCGTAAATCACCTAAACAGTAGTTAACCCTGTCTGATCCCACCCCTGGATACTATAGTTAACAGGGTTTTTGAATTAACATTGTTTATAAACAGCACTTAGGAGTAACTGTTCAAAGTTACAACGGCATCAAAAAAAAGTGACTTATGATAGTTTTTCAGTTATAACCTTTGCAGGATCCCCATGGTCATGTGATCAAAATTCAGATGCTTGACAACTGACTCCTATATATGATGATAGCAGTGTCCCAGGGTCACATGATCCCCATTTATATTTAATTTAGCTCCTTTTTTCCCAAAGTGCCCAGAGTTTCACTTGTAGATCCTTGCATTTTAGCTAGCAGAGTTATGTGATCAACATAGCATAGATTATTGATGTTTCTTGCTCCAATTTTCCACTCTGTTTTTATTTAACCCAGCTTCTTTTAATGCACATTAAGCATATACTGTACTTTGAGTCAGAGGGAGTATACAAACCTGTCACACTCTTTTGCCAACCTGGAGTCAATCTGTTTCATCATATTCCATCTGTACTACAGCTTTCAGCATGGTGGTCATTATTAATAGAATAGCCTTAAAGATCCATGGAAAGATTTTTTAAGATTGAGTGTTAATTGATTAAGGAACAAGATATGGTATCTTATTTACATATGGGATATAAAAATGCCAATTTATACATTTTTATAGTGGTGAATTAAACATGCTGCATGACATTTTTACACACATTCATGTACAATATTGCTGACTCCAGTGACAGTTCATTATGTTTTCTTTCTTGGTTTCAAGACTGAATATAAGTTTTGTTTATATTTGATATATAAGCATGTATGCAGACCATCCTGAAAACTGCCAATAATCTTTTGCCCATTCTATGTATATGTGTGAAATTGTGCACACCATCAGATAATGTTAATATACATCCACAGTCTCAATTTCCCATCAGTTCAGGGCTTGCAGAATAGGGGTTTTCGCTTTTGCCTAATTTATATAAACCTGTAACTTGCCTGCTTTTTTTTCTCAATAAAAGGTAATAAATCAGGGGTGTCCAACCTTTCACCTTCCCTGGGCCACATTAGAAGATGAAAATTTGGTTTGGGCCGCAGATAAAATAAAATAACAGTAAGATACCCGATCATCCCAAAAAACCATAGAAAACATAGTTAACATATTAAATTTATTTGGAAATAAAGTTAGTGAGATGTTTTTATTATTTATTATTAATTATTAATTAAAAATTATTTATTTTTTATCACGGTTTTTTTATCACAGTTTTATTTTCCGGCCAAATTTTGTGTGTGTGTGTGGGGGGAAGCTCGCCTGCCTCACGCCTACCTCCTCCTGCAAATAGCCC